TATGTTGTGCGCTGCTTTGCAGTTGCAAAAACACTTTGCGCCGAAAAAAATGTGGAAATAAATAAATTGTGCAACTTTAACGCTCCATTAAAACAAGTGGCTGGTCGGTCATTAAAGTCTACAAATTGTGCCGGTTTTTAGTCGACCTAAATGCTTATTTTTCACACAGTTTAAACAAGATTACTACATCTTTGAAAGTGTGTATCACACTTAAATGTAACTACAATATATTACAGCCAGTTTTAAGAATTTTTAAAATGTTCGATGAAATAAAATACCATCCCCTATATCTCCGGGTCACATTGACCGGAGGTTGAAAGAATTACTATATAATCTTTATGCACATAAGAGGGAAATATGGTTAGATAAACCACATTATTGATTTTTTTTATGTATAAACATACATATTTTAATTTGAAAAAAAGTTTTTCCTTCCACAATATGTCATGATCTTTCGTTATGGCCACTGTGAAAAATTCAACGTTATATTTTAGCATGGATTATAGTTCAAGGCTACGCTGCAATCTCCGAAATAGATGTTATTGGACCGAACAAAATCAAATTCTTGTGGGGAAACTTTGTTTATTTGTGAAGGCTATTATGGCTTCGGTGCAAACGAAGTTTATATATTTTCTTGTTTTTATAGCATTTCGATTCATATAAAATATTTAAAAATAAACTTCAACTTCCTTTGATTTTAGATCGACTTCCCGAATGTACGCAAAATTCTGCGTTCGATTGTGACGTGCAATATGAAGTCGCAAATATGTATCTTCGGTGTTTTCAAAGAAATTCTTCAAAAATTGTATACCATATGCTATGTATGTATGTGCTTAAATATGTATATTTATAAAATATTTCATAAAAAAATCAAAAATATCATTGAGAGAAAGCGTTGAACTAGTCCTATTTACCATCTTAATTTCTTGCAATTTCACTTTCAATGAGTTATATAAAACAAATAAATTTTTAATAACATTATTTGTTTTATAATTATGCCTTAAACCTTTTTTACTTCTACAATTAAGGTGAGCTTTACTGATCCGACAATTGTCCAACCTATTTATACTCTTTAACGCATTCTCTTACAAACAACTGTGCGTTATTGGGTTGGCCGTTAGTGATTCACCCAACGAAGCTAATTTAAACGTACTCACCATTTAAGGATACGTGTATAAATATATATTTTTACACCCTGATTTTGGTCTCTCTTAAGCGCTTCCGTTCTGCACCAAGCATTTTCCAAAAGCGGTCTTGTATATTACTTCGAACAACGTCATAACACACAGCTACTTAGCTAGATACTGGTGGTGTAGAGCATGTATGTACAAGTACAAGTGTATAGAGGGACACTCTTCAATCGGTGCCAATAGCCAGGGCGCTGCTACCATATTGTCAACAGCAATTCTGTCAACTTCCATATTTTTTGTTGTCATTATCGTTGGGCTTATACCGCCGCTGTCTTTTGAAATTTTATAGTTTCACATTATTGCCCACTCGACGTGCTCATTATTACTTTATTCACTTTGCGCTGATGTGCTGCGTTGAGCCACTTCTTTTCACCCGTTGCCGAACATGGCACGCCGCTTGCGTCCTCTGCACTGCGCTTTTTTCCTTTTTTCGATGCACGAGAAACGTGATTTGAAATTTGAATGAAAAGCAGACGCTTTAAACTTACTTCTTCCGTACAGCTAAATGCATACATATGTACCCATGTAAGTATGTTTTTAAGTAAGTTATGTGAGCATATAAAATTCTTGAGCACGTAGTTTTCTTTCACTGCCATCAAACTGGAAATCGTGTATTTTTCTTGTTTGCTAATTATGTGTTCCATAGTTTTTTTGCCATTCATATTTAGTTATATACAGCCGTGGAAAACTTATTAGAGATGACGTCAAAAACAAAAAAATTATAAATATATTACGAGTTAGTGACAAGAAACACACATGGGTTAATTTGTATACCCTGAACAGGGTTGCATGTAAAACTTTTTATTTTACGAGGTATCTTCACGAAATTAGGCACCAGTTATTATTTAAGGCAATAATGTATTCTCCGTAGAAGTTAACGTTTTTTCTTTTTATACCGTTATTTTGCCTGAGAATTGTATAAAATTAGTTTGCTAAAGTTACTGCGCGAAAAGTATGAATCGAAAAGCTGGCTTTGAAAGTTTGTTTCTAATTACATGCCTGCCACTGTAGCTGCTATTCAAATTATTTTCGTCTACTGCTAAATGCGGTCGATTTTTGGTCGCGTTGCTACAATTCAAAACTTCCGGTTGTTACCCTCACCGCAACCGGCCACCAAACAATCAGTGAACCAACCAAGAAACAATTTGGCAGTTTGGTTACCTTCCGCTGTCGCCGCAAATACTGTTACCTTGGTTGTGGAATAAAGAGCGGCACCCGAAAAGTGGCAAAGTGCGTTGTCAAGATTTAGAAAAAGAAACGTGCTTTTATGCCTCGGCAGTCGCACCATTTCTGGTTGTGGCCCCTTCACCGCGCAATTTTCGCACACCTCGTCAACCTAGGAGTTTTTTCTTCAGAGTTGGTGATATATGTATATATGTATGTATATTTTGTGTTAGCTTTGAATTAAGTACGCTTATGGTTGTTGTTGCTACGGTAGCGTAGCCGTCGTCTTTATCGCGTTTGCACTTTTTACCCACATCAATACAGCTTATGTACACACATGATTTGTTTGTGTTTGCATATTGTGTACTCATAAGTTTATCTATTTTTTCATAGTAGTCGTTGTTGTTTCGTCGATCATTGTTATTGTTGTTTCGTTACTAGAATGCCAGCCTATTTCAACGTGTCTTCCTACTTACTTATTTGCATATAAGTAGTAAATTATGTTTAATTTTCCTATGTATAACTAATATGCTTAGGAATCTAACAGCCTACTGAATATTCGTATTGTGGGTTTCAAGGAGAAAGCTCTCATTTCACTGAAAAATTATCAAATATCGTACTCGTGTACTCCTTTCTGGCTTAATAATAACGGATATCTAATTGGGAATAGAAAAGTTAAACGATTTATCGATAATTGTGTTATTGCATTTCCGATAAATAACGGGCGAAAACATCGATATATATTTATTGTTTTAAAATTATATTTAAAATCATGTCGAATCAGAATTTAAGATTTCTTTTGTGTATATGTTTTGAAGTTCAAATAATAAATAGGCATAAGCCATCTTTTTATAGTAAATTCGATGCAAGTAGGACTGTTAACGGTCTAACTCAATGTGTGATCCAGTGTGAGAGCACCAACTAAGTTTATATGATTAACCCAATCATTGGGAACACTTAACACTCAAACGTTGCAAATAAAGTAAAAACATGCCCGAAATTTTCAAATTCAATATTTATTTTAAAAGTTACGAACACTATGCCCTGATTAAAATGTATAATCGAAACTGAAGTTAATGAAAAACAAACAATTCTACGGTTATAATTCAAAGTATCATTGATATCGAAATTGACAATTCAATATTTTATCAAATAAAATTAGTTAAGTTTTTTATTATTCAAACGATATAACCCATATTACTCATACCCACATCTCAGAATGTCATACTAATTACATTTATATTAGACAAACTGTTTTTTTATCGGTTAAAATCAGCTATGTGAAACAATAAATGTTATTTACAAATCTTTTTTAATAAAAATATATAAATTTTTCAATTTGTTCGTATGACATTCATTATTCAAAAGCCGCAACTCTACAGATTATAATGCGGTTGGACATCTCGTTTGCAGATAAAAGTAGTCATTGACCCCTTGCAGTCATATTCATTTCAGTATTTTTATAATTTTGACCAAAAATATCAGCACATTCGGATAAAAAAATATATCTTATTTTTAAATCAATTATTTTCGAAGTGGCATAGTGATGAATGCCAGCGAACGATTTATTAGTATCGGTACACTCTAATGTAAGCTAAAAAACTGATGAGTACTTGTGATAAAAATAAATTGACGGTCTATCTACAATGTTCCGATCTTCATAATAATTAATTAACACAAATTAGCACAATTTATGACTTAAAAAGTCACAACGTGACTCTTTAGAGCATTTAACGCTCGCGAATTGTGTATGATAATTCAAAATAACAACAACAAAAACTGTAGATGTTGTATGAACATAACCTAGAAAATGTTAAGGCAATCATCTAACATTTAATGCTACAACTTAGTTAGCTCATGACTTAAATTACCTCTATCAACATTTAGATATATATTTGGAACAATATTTGCAACCTAACCTTAAATTTTAGATAACTTTTAAAAAAACTTAACGGTAAATATGACATTGAAATTGGGAAAATGTAAATTTTAAGAAATAGTAGTTTTAAATTTTCGAAATTTCAAACGAAATCCCATAAAAATCATTGTTGGGTACCCAGGGCAGGTGAGAAAGTAGAGCAAAGGTCAGTCGGTCGGTTGGTTGGTTGAGTCATATTGGCCACTAATGCTAACTAACTGGGTCAATGCAGACAAAAATATGCAAGCAAACTAGATTTATATGTTGTTTTTGTGGTTGAATGCCGAATGGGATGAAGCGGGGAGCGATACTGAGCGGAGGCACAACATACGATGCTCTCGAACGTAGCCAATGCAACACTTCAATAAGCAATGTTGTTGTTTTAATGTTCCTCCGCAAGTGTGTATGAAAATTTTTAGTGGACAGAAAGAGAGAGAGAGGGAGAGCATGGACAACTTCAGTGGCCGAAAAAACCGCATGTTTAACAACTAGAAATAACAGTATTGCCTTTGTACAAATATATAGCTGCTAAGCAGGCATCTGCATGTAAAAATATCCTTGACTGCCACAAGGCATTGCCTCACAACGACACCGGAAAATGTAATGGCACCGTAAACAGGACATTAAGTCAGCTTGGAAGGATTATTTTAAAAATTATACCCTCGAATATATTAAAGTGTAAGTGTAAATGTTTGATGGCATATTTAAATAATCTGGGTCATACTTACTTCCGGTGGATCCCAAACGCACTCGCCAGTTGTGAGATTTGCGTACATGTGCTCCTTGGTGCGTGGCTCGATTATTTCCACCCATTCTATTCTGCATATGCAAGAGAGAAGAGAGAGAAAAAGTAAGTAAAAAATCAAATTTTACAAAAATAAACAAACGAATTAAACATGATTTAAATGATAATGATTCCAGAAATTAGTTTAAGCATGCCTTGTCTACAACAACCTTTGCATTATCCTTCGTAAAATTGAAAGTGGTTAAAAGAGTACTGCGAATAAAAAATTCACTAAGCAGGTCATAAAAGAGTATTGATGGAAAGGTTTGAGTGTAGATATTTATATACATATATACATACATATTGCTGTCATACAAAGTGAACGATCGAAATCCAGTCTTTGTATGGAAAAATTTTTCATTTGACAAGATAAATTGTTCCAATCGGACCCCTATAGCGAAAGGGAATATTTTGTATTTGTGAAGGGTATTACAGCTTCGGTGCAACCGAAGTTAACGTTTTTTCTAGTTTTGAATTATTTTTATTCATATAAAATTTAAAAATTCTTCCAATAAAAATAATACATATGTATATATATTCTACTCCATTTGGGATTAGTATGAGCAGAGATTGTTAATGAATAGAGAAGGCGCAAATGTTTAAATCATTTATTTTTGAGTACTAATTTGTAGTTCCAGATGAGGGAACATCGGAAAATATAACTTTGAAATGAAAATAATAACACGCAATGTAGTAAACGGAGAAAAGGCTATATATAGACACAACGAATTTTCTTAAATGAATTATCGATGCGCATACCTATTTAGATTTGTCTTTTCAATTTCTATGATATGACAAATTTTATAGTTATAAAAAACTTTTGTACTAAGAAGGAGGATTATTGGTAATAAAAAACCCCAGAGTTTATAATAAAATAGACAATTTTTTCAACTTATGTACATACATACATATAATATGTTTATGGAGCAAATGATAATAATGAAACTGTGGCTAAAACGGCCGCGTTTTCACTTTTGTGGTAGCTGAGGTCGTAAGAGGGAAGGAGTTAAGCTCAATGCGAATACAGCATTTACGTTCGAATCCTTAACATCATGAATCTTTAGTTTTATTTTCCCTTTTATTTTATTAATAGATCTCAATTCAGTTACTTTTATAGCATATTTTACTTAATTAGATAATTAAAATATTTAAGGAAAATATGTTCATATGTTTAGGTTTTTTGAATGTTCCCTTATTTATGCGTATTGACACAAATATGACAATCACACATACATACATACATTGATAAATACACGTACGCTGATGCTTGCTTCTCCTTGGCCCGCGCAGACAATGTTCACATCTGCTTTCAACGGTTCGAACGAAGCAAGTCTAACGATCGAAGGCAAGGAGAAGCATTTTAGAACAGCTGACATTTGCGCCCTCTCTATTTATTAACATTCGATGGTATTGGCTCATATAAAACAGAATCTAACCCCCCCATCTTTGCTGTAAATGTGTTTTCCAAAGTCCGTGTCTTTGAACAGCCATACAAAACACAGAAAAGCTGATCTTTAAGACTACTTACCTCCTATCGCTATATAAACAACAATTACTTATCTGACCTAACCGTGAAAAACTTATTCTTGAGACTACTGAACTTTTTTTCAAAATCAACTCAAAAATTTACTACACCATTCTAATAAGAGGTTTTCAACAGACAAACAATTATATAATTTTTTTAGTAAAGTTAAAAGTCCGAAGAAAGAAATCATTAAATAATTTATTCTCTAATTTTTATGTTTTATTTCGAATTTCATTCAGGTTTTCACGCAATCCAATAAAAAACACACGCACACGTACATATGCATATACATAAGTACATATACTCACCATATACGCGTGCTTCACCCATTCATACCACGAATGCGTTCATTCATTAATTCCACGAGACCAAAATGCACCCCTTCCCTTATAATCATTTGTAACAGTAAAAACAAACTAATAACAACAACGATATCTGAAGAATATTAAAAATTCGCCGCTACGCCGGGCATCCTTCACACACACACATGCATATAAGTAAATACGTACACGCTCTCTCGCTTTCCACTTCTCTCATTCAGAGTTATCCTAGCTTTGGCATATCATTGGTGTTGGCTTTAATAACGCAACCGTCGAGGTTTTCAAAACTATTCGTCATCGTTAACAACACCACAATTGCGTTGACTTCGTGCTGCACACACCCTGTCTGCCTTATTTTTGGGCTTTTTTCAACCAGCGTCTTTTTACATCCACGCGTTTTCTTATCATTTCTTTTCAGCCTTATTTATTAGTGTGTGTGTGCATTTTCCTTTTCATTTGTACAAACACAATTCTCATGTTTCCATTTCCTTGTTCTCACTTTCCCAACCACATAATCTCTCTCTAAGTACTCTCTTTGCGCAAATGTTGGCTATATACACATGCGCCCCTCTCGTAGGTATGCAAAGATTTCCTTGCCTTTCTTGCTAAGTATATATTTGGCTACATTGTGACAAATCGATTTTGACAATCACACATGGCGAATGACAATGGAATGAAGGCGAAGAATATACAAAAAATAAATTTTACTATGCGTAGAAAATAATTAAAAAAAAAATATATAAAAAAAAGTAGTGAGAGGAAGATTATTACAATTATATACAACAGCTGATATGTATATTTAATAAAAGGTACGATACAAATATCCTACAGTAATCGTACGTTACTTTTCAGTAAAAAATTAGTTCAAAATAGAATTTTATTTTACGAAAAATTGGACGCTATTTTTTAAGTTTATAACGATTTTTTAAATCACATAATTATCGCTGACAATATAATGTTGTCTCATACATCAATCAAAGAACTAAACCCGGGATCGCATATAGGAAACTTAGGAAAACAAACACAAGAAATGAAGGATAACAGGGACGACAAAGATTATTCAGAGTATTTAATAAGTTCAATTAAGTAAAGCGCTCTTAGTTTGAAATGAGAAAATATGGACTACAACAAAGGGGAGCGGCTTCTAGAGTGAATTTCTTGTTGGTTAATACATTTCCAGTTCTTTTTTATTCATGCAACAACCTACATTGACGTATGTATGTATTTGTATACATGAGCAATTTTCGCAACACACCCACAGTGACATGTTTACTAAACATATAACATATATACATATATATGTACATGTACTATATTCCCTTTTAAAAATATGGAAAAGCATATGTACATATATATTTATGTTTACATATGAAACCCACTCGGCTCTACAGTACCACCCATCCTTTGCAGTGTCGCTTTGCAAATTACTACCGCCGCCCATATCAACCCCCACACACATGTGCACACAAAATAGCAGTAACATTTAAGTTTTACGGACTATACAATATCAAAGGCAACTAGTTTGCAACAATCAGACACATTTATTGTCTTGCAACACGCTGAATGAGAAAAGTAGTATTGCTTTAAAATTCTTTAAGGCCATACATATATTTGCCTACTCAAAAAAATATCTGTATATATTTGACGTACACACCTTTCGTTGCTGCAACTCGAACTCATTTTTCTGCAACTGCGTTCGCCTTGAATGGTCGACGCTGACTTTTCCAAAGGCCGCTACAGCGACTTGCGCTATTCTGCACACAATTTTTTAATTTTGTGCTGCACTTTGATTTTCTTATCTTAAATTTTTTCTTTTTTATATTTTATAATTTATTAACACACATCTAAAACCGTTTAAAACTTGAACGTTTTAACACTTTCCTACTTGATGAACTGCAATTTTTCTCCGTTTTTCACTACGGCGAACGTTGCTCCTCCCGTTTACACTTCCTTTTTTTCTTCAGTGCTACTGCCCACATTTCGAACTATTCAAATTGTACCATTTTCTTCCATCTTTCACCGTATAACCGATATAAGCATACATTATTTTTCAGAGCACTTAAATCATATCGGCATTTTAATTATTTCAATTCAATATTATCCTAGTTAAAAATACATATACATATACATATATTTGATATAAAAGTTACTTTCGCAACTACCGCTTTAGTTGTATATTACTCGCTCGCACGCACAACAGAAATGAAGTAACTGAGGAAAATAAACCCAAATGTCATGAAAAAGAAGCGAATAAACGAATGCCGGAGACAATCGGGACTGCCGAAATGGAATAAATAGCAAATGCCATATAGAAAGATACAGAGTTGCAATGAGACTAAATTATACTCCGACAAATTCAATCGATATCCAAAGGTAATATCAGCAACAAATCGATAGTTTTATCAAAAATCTTGCCTATTCATATTAACGAACAGAACATGGTTTTTATAATTATACCCTGAACAATATATAACCGCTCAACATAATTAGCCGAGTCGATTTAGTCATGTGCGTCTGTCTGTATATACGCAAATTAGTCCCAGATTTTGTGATATCGATTACAAATTGAAAATTTGCTCACGTACTTTTCTACCCCAAGAAGCTGCTCATGTATAGTAACCGCCGATATCAGACCACTATAGCATATAGCTGTAATACAAACTGAACGATCAAAACATCCTTGTACGGAAAACTTATTTTATTGTCGAGATATCTTCACGAAATTTGGCTCGAATCATTGCAACGGTACAATATTCGAAGGGTATTATAGTTTCGGTTCAACCGAAGTTATTCTTAATTTTTATTTGTATATGCCAAAAAGGCTTAGTTTAAAGTGTACTTAGTAAACATATTACAAAAAAATTTGAATTAAATCTCCATTTACATAGGTGCATATGATTAAGTAAAACCATAAATGGCAAAGGTTGTTTGCTAGATCAGTAGCAATCAGCTGAAATCCTTTCAATATTTGATTCCGGCTCGAATAGACTCAAAATGTCTTCCAAAAGCGATGCCAAATTTTCATTACACAAAAACCACTCGTCTTGTTTACAAATTTCTTCCTCGAAATCTGTGCGCCTAACTATAGCAAGAAACTCCTTTGCACTCACGTTACTAAATTGTCGGTAGTAGAATTTGTTTTTATGTTTTCTCTCGTAATTTGCTTGATGATGGCTTGATGCTGATTGCTTATTTTCCCCGTTTATATGCATATTTTGCTCATATGCTGCCGCCAATAAAGTTATGTCTTTTGTATCAAGTATAGATTCGATAATTTCTTCGGAATCCAGGAATTCGACGATTTCTGCATCACCACTTACTATTTCCAAAGAATTAGTTTCCAACTTTATTGTTGCAGAAAGTGGACTATTTTGTGTTGAATCGTTCTTATTTGATGGACTGTTATTCAAAGACAGCAGTGTTGTGGTGGCTATATCGATATTATTGTCGGATGTTTGGTTATTAAGATTTACTGTAGGAATTGTAGTATCTGATGCATAGGTATAGTTATATTCATCAAGTTTATCAACCAAGTTTTTTACAAGACTTTTAGCTTCTCGAATTACAACCACATCACACTCGTCATTTAGACACTTTAGTATTGTGCCGAGGCAACCGCGTTGCGACAGTTCATTCAGTATTTTGGAAAATCGTAAATTTATTTCCTTTTCATTTAATTGAACAATCTTACGCTTCTCTTTGGAGAATGTTACTGGCGGAAATATACCATCAATCATGCCCTCATTAGACAGCAGATTGCACATCTCACTTCTCCAGGCTTTAAGTGCTTCAACTTTTACCTCCCAATGTAAATCGTTAACGACGCAATAGACTAGTGTAGAGTAAAAATTGTCTCTATAGCGATTGGTTATTCTACGCAGACTGTTTAATTTAGTAAACGTAGATAATGCCTCTTTGCGCACGATCCCTTCTGGTTCATTATGTAGCACATCAAATAGATGATCCTAATAAGTAGTATTGGAAAGAAGTTTAGTAATTTTAAACAATTGATTTTAAATATTAAAACTCACGGGTAAATTTTGTTTGCATAAATCCGTTTCCCATATAGCATCAATTGCTACAAGTTCTGAAATGCATTTTAGTGCAGAAGCACGGACATAAGGCTCCGAATCGTGTTTGGCCATATCATACACGATACGACACATCCAGTGCTCGGTTAAGAATTTCTGAAATGCGGGATACTCTGTAATATTAAATTATAAAAAATTTATTTAAAGTGAGCTAATATTATGAACATAAAACATACTAAAACGTGATATATTAGTAATTGAGATAACAAGCTCTAAAACGCTGTCACGCACTTCCCAAGCAGTGTCATGAGAACGTTTCATAATAACTGGGGCCATCACTAACAATGCGGAACCTTTTAGGTTATCTACAAGCAGCGCCATGTTCGGTGAAAGGAAGTGTTCTATTGAAAGTTTTAGCAATTTAAAAGATTGAACAGACACCTGCAATAAAGTAGAGGTAATTAATTGGTTAACATATCTCATTTAAAATTGATAATATATTTTATTTAACCTTTGTTGGTACATCGTCTGCTTGTAGCAGATACAACACGCAATTCACTAAGCAAATTGTCTCGATTGAGTCCTTCCACGTAATTTTGAATTTTTCGATCAGCGTTTGCATTGCAACCAAAATAGCATGTACGACACTAGAAAATTCAGAAATAACTGAAAAGCTTGGTATTTCTTTTAGAGTACAAGCGGAATCATCTGGACAGTCAATGATATTTTTAGGGTATAATGTTATTATAAACTCTTTCAGTGCATAAATGCAAGCTTGGAAAACAAGCACAGCCTGATCACGCTCCAATATATCCACCATTGACATGGCACCATGAATTGCTTTTAATGTTAAATCTGCGTTCGTTGTTGATGGTTTATTAAATAGTAAGTCTCTGTAAGCATAGCTGACGCGTAGTGTTAGTTCACATACTATTTCGAATATCTTTGTCATATATTTTTCAAATATTTCTTCTTCTAGAAATTCATGGGACCTTAAAAGCATGTGCAGAGGTAGCAGTTGAAAAGTCATCAACTGGTGTTCAAAGCGTACCAATTCATTTTCAATCAAAACCTCTCTAGGAACACGATTACGTAGTTTTTTCCATAATTTATGATTGATTTCAGCAACCTTAAGAAAGGTTACACAGTAATTTCGCGAGACACAAAACTTCATTTGATTGAATATCGAAACACAAAGTTCATTGAAATTGTCCGCTGGTATCTGATCTCCACTCCACTTATCATGCACTAATATAGCAAAGCTGTATGATGATAAAGTTGCTAAAATTTTGCGAATAAAATTTTCATTGTATGAAATTTCAGTTAGTTTCCAAACTGTAATTTCAACATTATACTCCGTTCTGCAGTATTCCGCAATACTAGTCTTTTCTTCCGATTCGAGCGTTTGTTGAAGAATAAATGAGATTAAGTCTAATGTTGAAGACAGCTTATGTTGCAGCTCGTAATCATCCACATTGATAATAATGTTCTCATTATGACTTTCAAAAACATTCGCCATAACAGGTTGAAAAACTTCATTAAGTATTTCTTTTACGACTTTTTCATCTTTTGTTTTCACATCGTATTTATAGATCATCTCATATAGTAAAAGGCGCGCTTCACGTACCACGTACAGTGTGTGATCTTGATTGCAATATTCTATGAGAAATTGCCATACATTCATAGTACGCAAATAAGCTAAACCAATGCTGTATTTAGAGACAGCATGTAAAAGTCGTATAACACCTAATTTAATGGACGGATTGAAACGATGCGATTCACGTTTAACGACCATCAATACCCTAGTAAAAATTGAAGATTATAAATAAAGCTTGAAGTGTAATATAGCACTTACTTGTCGACTAAACGACGTTGTCTTATTTCGATTATGGTCCACTCATTGTTTATAAGTAAGCCAAAAACGTTGAAAGCAAATGAAATGACTTTGGAATTCAATTTGGTGATGTCCTCGCAAAGTATGTTGATGCAGCGGTCAACCCAATCCAAGGCAAAAGGTGCTTGTAGTATGTAAGCGTTATCTGGAATATATCATGAATTATGTTATAGAAAGCAACTAAAAATAAATATTAACCTTTTGCAGCCAAGTGTGTTAGTAGCTTATCAAAACAAACATTATGCTTTGTGATGAAATTCTCATCAAGGAAATATTCGAATATCTGCTTCAAATTAGTAATAATTTCCAGTCGTTCTTCCATATTGCAAACAAATGTCACTTAAATGTCGTTGTGTTGTAGCTTAAAGTTTGTATTTGATTTGGATTTGATTTTTAATATATAATGGCGCCATATATTGAATTGTTTTGTATTATTTTGCTTCTGTTAAATCTGATATTTTGATATATATTTCTTATCAAAGCACATAATATAATTCCTATAAGAAGTAATTACGAATATAGCAGAGCACTTATTGAAAGATATGTTTAGTGAAAGCTCAGGTGTCAAAGAAATCATATCATAATGAAATGTCAAAATTTCAGAACTTCATTATTATCATTATTTACCAAATTAATTATAATTAAGTTAAATAAATCTAAAATTAAAGCAGTACATTATAATATGCTAATTTTATATTATAATATTAATCAAAGCTTTATGATTTATAAAAAAGTTCTTAACAGTATAGTTCAGCAGCCTGAACGAAGACTAGAATTCAGAGGCAACAACAACATATGAGAAATGTTGGTACTACTTAATGCCAACAACAATGGCAACAACAAGAAACTCGAGTTTTGAGATGGATATTTTGCGCCCCAAAATCGAATAACCAGTGATAACCATTCACTCCACTACAGTAGTGAATTTGTTAATGGATTTATATACAATTAGTAGCTTAATTACTTCTAAAATTTAAGTGTACTCCATATCATAAACATATATTCTATTATTAATCGTCAGCATTTATTTTGAAATAGTTAAACTTATAAATACTGTTATATTTAATACGAGTACTTTGATTTCATGTGATATATCGATGTCTCCCAAAAATCGATATACCGTTGGCAGATCTACTTGATCTCAGTGCAATTTCGATTTGATAGCTGAGATATTTTTATTTCACACATTGAACACGTATTATTTGTTCCCAATAAGAATATTATTATTAGTTTCGTTTTTGAATATTACGATTAAATTGAATACAGTTTCATTTGGAACAACGTGTATACATATATCAATACTTTTTCGATTATGTAGTTCGAAAATACAATTAACCACAAAAGGGAATTGCAGTTTAAATTAAAAGAAAGCTATTCCGCAACAATTATATGGATCCTTATAAATTCAGAGCTATTCTATAACTTAAGAATTTGGCATTCGCGCATACTATGGACAATAATGTAGACGGTGCAAGACAAAACGGCAGCAACAAAAGCAATACCAACACGGATAGTGCAGTCCCAGCGGCAAATACGAATAACATCGCTGCATCAACGACAACAACAACATTGCCTACTAATAAAAACACAAATAACAGTAGCAGCGTTAATAACGTCAGCAATAGTAGTGGGAACTCTTCATTTTGGAAAAATAGCGGGAGATTGGTGCCAGGACGTCCAAGTCCTAAGCGTGTTGACGCCATTAATTTTAGTGGCAAAGGTGACGGTATGGTGTCTACTTTTCGTGATTATCAGCAGTCTGTTAGCGATGCTTGGGACACGGGCGATGACGAATTTTGTATTATATCCGGAACAGCTTCAGGTGGACAGCTGGGAAATGGTAAGTGTCTAAGCGGGCGCTATGTGTTTAATATTAATTAAAACTGACACAATATCTAACACCCACAATGTATATACTTTCAACATATAAATCGCAAAACAAACATCGTCTGTTTAATACGTATTTTACTAGATTCGCGTATATCAAAAAAAGTCTCACAGACAGCAGCTTTAAATGTGATTGAAACGCATCGGAATTCAGCAATTACTTCCACCACACATACAACGGCAGCAGCAACAGAAGTGATCACAACAACAGGGGAAGTAGCTACAATCAATAACACAACAACTAAAGTGCCAACTACAGAGGAACAACAATGTCTCAAATTGCAATCATCAGTCAATCGAAGAAGCGAAGAAACGGAGTCATCAAATGACTCAAAGAGCGAAGCGGAAGCGAGGTAGTGAATAAATGTTTGAAGTTTATTTGAATGCATTAATCTAATGTTTAAATTACAGAATTAAAGTTGTACGTAATTTCCACGCATACCCTGGACGACCACAACTACAAAAGTTCAGTTCCAATTCCCAAGAAACCGAATATGAGACAAAAATCGAAAAATTTCATGTTTTGTTGGAATCACCGCTCTTAGATTTAGTGGCATTAAAGAAAATAAGCTGGTCAGGTGTACCAAAAAAGGTTTGCAAGCAAATATGTTATTGCATTTCATAGAGAGCAAATAACTAGAGTTTTTAATAAATTTCATCTTGACAGATGCGCGCGGTCAGCTGGCGACTACTCTCTAAGTATTTACCACCAGCGAACGAACGACGAAATGCCGTGCTCGAAAGCAAACGACAAGGATATCAGGATTTACGACATAATTATTTTAGAGTCGACAGTCAAGACGAGTCACAGCAGGACACCTATAGACAGGTGTGTAAACTCTAAAATTATAAATACTATAAAATTTGGTGATTATATTTTCTGTTATTTTTTTTTGTTAGATACATATCGATGTGCCACGTATGAATCCACAAATATCACTCTTTCAACAAAAGCTCGTACAGGAAATGTTTGAACGTATTTTATTCATATGGGCGATACGTCATCCAGCATCGGGCTATGTGCAAGGCATTAATGATTTGGTGACACCGTTTTTCATTGTCTTTATGCAAGAAGTACTCGAACCAGGTTATGTTTCTTTTTTACGTTTCAAATGATGCAATAATTCTAAGGATATCAATTTTTTGAACAGGCACGGATTTGGAAAAATTCGATATTAGCACATTACCTGTAGATAAACGAGACGCCATTGAAGCGGACTCCTTTTGGTGTCTCTCTAAATTTCTCGACTGCATACAAGATAATTACATTTTTGCGCAATTAGGTATTCAAGAAAAGGTTAATCAACTAAAAGATCTTATACAGCGGATTGATGGTGTGTTTAACAAGTGATAAACTTTCTTTTTTTCAATAACTTATTTAACTTAACGGTTTATGGTAGGAAATCTTCATCGTCACCTGCAAGCGCATGGAGTGGATTATCTGCAATTTTCTTTTCGTTGGATGAATAATTTACTAACACGGGAACTACCACTACATTGCACTATACGCTTGTGGGACACATACCTCGCCGAATCTGATGGCTTTGCACTCTTCCATTTATATGTGTGTGCAGCATTTCTATTGCATTGGAAAGACAGATTAATGCAACAAAATGATTTTCAGGTAAGCATTTCGCATTTAACTAATTGGGTTATCTATATATAAATATAATTTAATGCATTTAGGGTCTTATGCTACTACTACAAAATCTGCCAACGGAAAACTGGTCTGATCGTCAAATAAATGTACTGGTTGCGGAGGCGTTTCGTTTAAAATTCACTTATGCTGACGCGCCAAAGCATTTGGAGGCGAAAAGTTGACACCAGCAGCAACGGAAAACATATATCTATGAGTACGTGGCATAATTTTGGTTAAATAAAGACATGCGTTAGTTATGAAAGCGTTTAAATGCTTAATTATTCTCAAAACAGTCAGTTAATTGCATAAATAATACAAACGCATTCACACATCCAGCATAAATATACGATTATTATAATAATAATTATTATAAGTTATTGCATATACTTTGTATATATTACACAAACAATGTTTAACTCAATGATGCATCAATTTTTTTCCGGTGAGAATTTATAAAATCGAAGCAAATATCATATAACGAAATGTAAACAAAGTTGCAATTCTTTTATATATTACAATAAATAAAATAAAGTAAAAATGTAGCTTATGCAACGAAAATTAGAATTTAAAATCGTTCACTTTAATACACTTCGGGCGCTCTAAGACAAAAAATCTTAAATAGGTAGGTGAGTTGGGTATTCAAGTTATATATAAACAAATAAATAAAATCTCAAGCGCTATTTGATTTTATAGTAATTGTTTATAATATATATTGTTTGATCAAAATCAACTGGTATCGGTTGAAAGTTGTTCTACAGTTTAATTCTGTCGTTCAGTCAAATGTTTCAGTTGTTTCAGCACTGTGTCCAAGAGCTTCTTTTTATCATTTTTACGCAGCACCGAAAACATAGTCTTTTTATCGGCCTCGCGTATCTTTTCCAAAATAACAATAATCGATTGTGGATGCACCAAATGATAGCGATTTTCTTGTTTGCCATAATCATGTAAATAAGTGCTCCACTCCTCCATAATGAGTAGGTCCAGTAATTGGCGATTTTTGAGAAAATATTTGGAAAGCTCGCCTTCACGCAAACCAGGCACAGGCTCGGACGCTGCAAAGAATTCGCATTGCAGAACATCCAAATTTATTTGCTGTAGTGCACCAGTTGATATTTGTTTCACCTCCTCGTCATAGAGTATATCATAGATTTTGCTCGCAATGTGCTCACAGGTGCGACGACAAGCCGTTTGCGCTATACCAGGCAATTTGAAAGCAAAATTATCAAAAGTACTCTTTAAATAGGAAATCATGTCGGTGATGTAAGCGGATGCAATGCCTGGTGGTTCGATAAGTAACCAGTCATATGCTGCCAAATCAAAGAATTCATCTATTTTCGAACAAATGCGTATGCCAACCTGTTTTTCAGCTTCCTGTCGTGCCACATGAAACATAGCCGAGGGCGTTTGCGATATGTTACTCACCGTATTGGTCATATGACAAACGAATTCATCTAAAAATGGGCCAGCCTTTTCCAAATATTGTGTGTCAACTATAATTTGTATTAGTTGTGGGAGCGCAACGCTTGGATTGCGAAATACCATAGAGAGGCAACCACTGAAACTGCGTGTCAGTAATAAATTTGCGGCTTTACGAACCATTGCTGCAACTTCATTTGGCGAAAGTGTAAGCTCCTCGGCGAATTTCATACACGCATACATGAACTCCTTGGCCTGATGATAAACTTCGGGTACCATACGCGAAAAAGGGAATTTCTTAGGAAACGTCGCATTTTCCAATTGCTCCGAATGAAATGGAAAACGTTCTATAATTGACTCATACTCTTCCTGATTTTCAACAATCATGGGCTGGAATTGCTCTTTATCCAATATGTCGCGAAAGACGTGAACCCAACGTTGCAGTAGAACCTAGAATTCAACATAACATACAATAATATATTTACTACAACGTAACTATGTTGCACTATTTAGTATTTACCTCGTTGTAGTGATCACGCATATTGTGAAGGCACTCGAATAGCATATTTACGGTGTATCCGTAACATTTGAAAGTATTTATAGAGAGCATAATTAAGTTTTTTATGCGTAGCAAAATATTTGGATCCGTACAAGATGACGACGCCATGCTAATCTCATTTACAAATTTCGTTAACGATGTGGACCATAAATCTTCCAAATATGAAGTTGTTACAACATCACCAGCTGTATTCTTCACATGATCTTCCACAATGAAAAATCCGACAATAGCACAAATATAAGTTTTGTAAGCCTCCAAATTATCGTGCATACCCGGCGGCGGTTGTAAAACAAGCTTGGACTGGTCGCGGCGCTGCTGACGATAATCCTTTTCAAAATACTCACGCTGACCCAATACCATGTAAATGTGTAAACAACGATATATTGGAGAGAAATCTATTAAATCTTGCGCACTCAAATTATTTTCTTCGTCACGATTTTCCTGCTGTCGCAATAGCTTATGCTCCTCAATAATTGCATTGATATCCAGTTTTTGTAATTGTTTTGTGTGCGTAATGGCCACCTCTCCAATTTTAGGTGAAAACTTTCTAATATTTTCCAGGAATTCTCGAAAGTCCGCTTCAGCGGAACGTCTTATATTTTCCTTAATAACTGGTATTGCCTGCCTAATTTGGGTGGCAAAACGATAATTGTTCAAGCCAACCAAATGCTGTGATTCCAAAGTTTCCAAAGTGCGTAGTGATTGGTAATACTGCTTATTGTTTGCTTGCTGGGTAAATTTAATGTAGCACTCGAGAGCAGGGAGACAGGCTTGAAGTGCATCAATAGCGCTGGCCAAATTTGATTCAATTTGACGAGCACGCACTAAATCTTGGCCCTGCTGTAAAACAGATGCACTTATTTGCTGCAACGATCTATCCAGTGTATGAACCTCTTCATGCAGTTGCTTAGCTTGTGTACGCACTTGTAACAGTTCTTGTATTGAATCTATAAATCCTTGGTAATACAGATTGCATATGCGTTCAATATCCTTATCATGACTACGTATACGCTGCTCCAATTGTTCAGAAAGTGACTCAGTGTTATTTCCTTTATTATAGTAATGACATTGAAGAGTTAAGACGCTATAATTGTGGGTGGATATAGTAGTTGTAAATACCTTCTAAAATGGATCGGAATGTGGGCCCCCAATAGTCGTCTACAGCTTCAATGTCCTGCACTGTTACTTTTGACATTATTTAATAATGTGTAATTACTTATTATGAGAGATAATAAGAGTAGTAATTTTTTATTTGCCCGGTCAAAACAAATTTATATAGCTGTGAGTCTAATCAGAAAAATTTCTACTTCTTTTACAATCGCTTATTCTCAATAGCTAACTCGAAGGCAAAGGATAGTCAACTGGAAAATTGTATAATTGTGGTAAAAATTCTGAGGAACGTATTAATATTATTAATAAAAGATTATTTAAATATATTTGGTTAATTATAATATAAACTAAAAATTCATCATAGAAACTAGTGTACCATATATTATTAATAAAGTCTGTTTAACGGATTTGAGTGCATATTTATTCCGAAAAATTCAAGTTATTGATATATTTATGTATAAGTATTAAAGAAAATCTAAAGGTTTCATTAATCACAAGATGTGATAATATGGTAAGATATATCCATTTAATTTGTTTACTTCTCATTCACAATGGAATGAATTTAATAGTAGTTATTAGTATTGTTTTATTGAAATAAGTATTGATTATATATATAACAATGGAAATCAAATTACAAAACTTACAGCAATCAGTAATATGTGTCAGTATATATATATAGACAAGATTTAACTTAATTTAGAATGTAACTAACTAATACCCATTAGATGGCAACACTTGAATACTAGAATGTTTTTGTTTATAATTATCGTTTTTTGTTTTTTGGTCAGATAATTATGTATTGTTTTTGTAACGTCGCTAGCTTGTTGCACATATTCGTTTCTCGTATGATTGGAGCAACTTTCACTTCACAAATGTGTAGTCAGCCAACCAATCCGGTTAAGCATATGACTGTTGTGCTTTAATATTTGCCAAAAAGTAATAAAATTAGCAATTAGCGTTAAAGCTTAAAGCATTATAAATTTATTTAACAAAGTTTACAACTATTTATAACTACATGACTGCAACATCTACGTTAAAAAGCCGCAATGGCAATCAAGTTATTAACAACAATCTTGCAGAAGTGCCTACCACCAAAAGGCATGATAATCAGACTAATAGTGTTCAAAAGACTGATGATCCTGCTGGAAAGAATTCGCGTTCAATGATGACCTTAATATTTATTTCGCTTTTGTTTGACTTACTCGCTTTTACCATGATCCTCCCACTAATGCCTTCCCTGCTCGAGCATTACCGTCAGAATGACAGCTCTGGGTTGTATAATTTGATGACGCGGCGAATACATTGGTTTCAGCAACTTGTTGGGGCTCCAGAACGATACACATCGGTATTGTATGGTGGTTTTTTAGGATCCATGTTCAGTTTTTTACAATTTATAGCTAGTCCCATTGTTGGTGGGCTATCCGACTATTATGGACGTAAGCCGTTAATGTTCATTTGTGCGGTAAATATATCGATCATTTGTAAGGACAATTTATTTTTATATATGATTATTTTACAGAGTGGTATTGCTTTATCCTATCTCCTATGGGCTTTCTCCAGTAATTTTGCACTTTTTGTACTAGCACGATTTGTTGGCGGGATCAGCAAAGGTAACATATCCCTTTGCATGTCAATTATCACTGATGTGTCCAGTGTTAAGACACGTGCATTTGGTATGGCACTTGTTGGTGTCGCCTTTTCGGTGGGCTTCATTGCTGGTCCCACAATTGGTGCGTTATTTGCGCGTTCATTAAATAAATCAGTAGAATCTTGGTATTTGGCACCCTCATTATGTGCCTTCACTTTTGCTATATGTGATTTAGGAATCATTGCATTTGGTCTAAAAGAAACATTACCAAAAGTGAGTAGTCGTTAGTTGAAAGGGAAAGGTACAAATTGACAATTTTCTATTATCAGGAAAAACGCGTAAAAGAGATATCATCGGCGATGTCATATGCTATTCAATTATTGGACGTGCGATCAATATTCAGGTGCGTGTAAAATAAAACTAAACTAATGTATATACTTATTATAAAGTTTATCAAATATCGTTTGCTCGCAGTAATATTTGCATATTAATTACAGATTGTTTTTAGTTACTTATTCAATTACTGTTACAGCCATCATATACTCTTATCTATGTTTAAAAATTTTTATCCTCACTTTGAAGTATAGTATGTTAATCACCGCGTAGCGTTTGCATGTTTCATTTACAAGCTTATAACACTATTTTATTTATCAGCACTTTCGTGCTGTATACGCAAATTAGATAAGAAGCTACTTTTAGTTGACATTAAAGTTATTAAAACCACAAAATACTACAACAACATTATTTTTTAGAAGTAATTTTTTTGTGATGAAACAGTTAAAACCTATTTTTAAAAACCAATGGTATTTCATAGTATGACATTTGAAGAATATTCTGCTAAATTTTCATAAAGAAATATTTAAAATACGGTAATGGCAGCAATTGTTCTGGAGCGTTTCGATAAAGTTGAATTGCGATGCACCTCATAACTTGGTGCTGGATCATATACAACCAAAATATATCGTTATATAATAGATTTGCCCTAGTAACGCTGGGGGGCTCGAAATTTAAATTTTTTACTTTTTGGGAACACTTTAAAGAAAAAAACGCGATCTAGTATAGAAATGGTTTCAAAACGATCGGTGGTGCAGTGGTTTTAAAGTTAAGAGGCGCCACCAACTTTGAAAACGTAAATTGTGGGGCCTTAAAGTTTTGAAATCTGATGTAAAACGTTTATAAAAATACTCGTAATTTCGTCAATAAGTTAAAATTTAGACGCAATATTCTTGAGGTGACATGCATTCATTTAAAACAAAACAATTAGTAATCGTATTCTGCATTTATGATAAGCGTTTCATAATTATAAACTTACATAATTTATTAACATGTCTACAAAAATAGATTCTCTGCAATTAAGAAAGTGTCCAATGCCGAAATACTTGCACTTCGTAAAATAGGGCTAATTTACTTCTTATACCTATTTCTGTATTCCGGTTTGGAATTCACTGTCACATTCTTAATGTACCACAAGTTCGGCTACAATTCCATGGAGCAAGCAAAAATGTTTCTTATGACAGGTATTTATATACATTAAGTTAATATATATTTTTATATAATTTTTCGATTTTTATTGTAGGTGTTGTCATGGCCATTCTGCAAGGAGGAGTTGTTCGGAGACTACCTCCTCAGGCGACAAAGCCATGTGCTGTATTTAGTTTGTATCTGATTGTACCTGCATTTATATTAGTTGGATTAGCGAAGGATGGATATTTGCTATATGCAGGCATGTTCCTTTTTGCAGTTTGTAAGTTTACTGTTAGAGTTATTATGGTATATACATATGTACATAACGTTTTATAAATTATTTAAATTACGATTACCCCATTTATAGCCACAGCCTTTGCTGTTACCTGCCTAACCACATTGGTTTCACGCTATGGCAATGACGATCAAAAAGGTTCGGTGCTCGGTATTTTCCGTTCTTTGGGTGCCTTGGCACGTGCAGTTGGTCCAGTTGTTGGTTGTATTTGTAAGTATCATGTGTGTATTCAAACAGTTTCAATCTATTTTTATACTTTGATGTATATATAGCGTTTTGGAGCTTTGGTTCGCGACTAACTTATATTACTGGCGGTCTTTTATTACTGGGCCCAGCGTACATTTTACAAAAGTCAAAGCTTTAATAATTTAAATATTAAGCAAGAAATTTTAAAGTATTTAAACATGGGTTTCGTGCCGTACAGTATCATAAATAATAATTTGCATAAAGTGCTCATTAATTTATTGTGTATTATGAAATTTTCTTTACTTATATTTTTATATCATTTTAGTATTTAAGAATAAAGTTGTATCGAATATTGCCAAAAATTAATTAAATATATTGTGCATAGTTTTGCTAAAAAAAAAAGGTAATTTATATTCTACAACTTTTTAATAATAATAGGAGTATTTCCAAATCTAAATGTAATTGTTTTATTTTTTTTATTATAGTAAGTAAAGTTTAACATTATGATATAAATGAATTTTCAATTAAAATGTACATATATGTATGTTGTAAAGTAAAACTCTCGATTATATCCTACAATCTTGCTAAAGGTGATACACCGATTAAAGCGATCTTCAAGCTAGTCGATACCTTTTGTATTATGTTTAAAAATAGTCCCTTCCATACCAGCCAGCATTTTCTTCAGTTTGGAGACTATAACTATATTCACTCACTATTTGTATTTGTCAAAATGGTTTAATTAACATTGATGGTCAATTCGATTTTGTGGGCAGCTATTCTTTATTGTAAAGCTAATAAATGTGGTTGATTCATTTGTGTTTTTAAACACAAAAACTACCATAAGTAAATTTGAATAAATTTAAAGTAACGTTCAATTCAATTATGTTGGAGATGTTCCGAATATATTGTAGTAGAGGATAGAAAAGTAATAGCGTATATTTTCTTTTCCTTTTAATTTTCGCCTTCGTCGCACGCCATATTTAATATTGAACAACGGCACATCGAGCAGGGAAGAAGAAGATATTTTCGTGTGTCGTCGTCGTAGTTGTCGCGTAAAAAGGTGATTAATATTGAAAAGTTTAAAAAAGCACAGCAAATATAATTGTTTTCATATATTTATGATTAAAATTAAGTTTTTAACTTTGTTAAGAGAGTAGAAATAACAAATAAGCAATCTTTTAAGTGTAACTTATCAAATTGTGTATGCAAAACTTAGGCGAATTCCGATGGAAATAAAGCCACAGTATAGACAATTAAGTAGAAGTAAATGCTGAAGCAGTAGAAGCAGCAGCCTATCAATCAGTGGAAAAAAGTTACCGCCCCGTCATTTTTTCTAATTTAATATTTTCTTTTTTCTTCCATTGGTTTTACGGTCTGTGCTGTCGTTGAACGTCGTCGTCATTGTCACCCATCCGCTGGACCGTCGCATTGCCCTTTGATTTCACTGCCGTCTTATGTGTTTGTGTGTTTCATCGCATTTCGGTGAATAATCGTGAATTTTTTATTACTATAAAAAAGAGCTTTTGAGAAAGAGTAGTAAAAAGATACGCAAATTACATACCGAAAAAAACTTTCCAAGTAAAACCGACGATAAAGAAGAAAATTGTTGGAAAATAAAACAAGTAGAGTAACTCTAAAAGGATAAACGCAGGTCACCCAATTGCATAGCAAAAGCAAAAAAAACAAAGAGGAAGCAGCTACGCCAAAAACAGTTGAAAAAATAATTTACAGCCAATCATGGGTACTAGAGAGGATGAATACGATTATTTGTTTAAAGGTAATTAAATTTTATTTGTGTTTAAATGTGATTATATGTGAAAAAGGATCTAAAAATACAGAATGTATATAAAGAGAAATTCATCAATACCGTGCGATGACGTAGCTCATGTGTAATTGGTTGGTGCAAGTTTGACTACTTTAATTGAACAGCATTCAGACTAAGTGCGTAATGTATGGAGAAAATATAGATTAATCTTAATAAAGGTATAACTATGTTTCGTTATGCCCATTCACAAGCAGAATAATAAACATTCAGTTCATACTGCGTAAAGTTGCAAGCTACATATTTAATTCAGTAATAGCAAGCTGAAGTCACATCAGAATGATACATTGTGTGTATGCGGTTAATCTCAAGTTGTGGGTGCTTTTTCAATATGATCAGTTGGTTTATGATTTTCTTTCAGCTGTTTTTTTTTTTTTCTTTTTATTTTTTTTTACCTAAACCGCCCCCTCAGTCGCTGGTTAATAATAAGTCAGCTGCAATAACTATCGTTGTCACTACTTACCACCACACGGAACCATGCAAAGCAGACATCCAACTTTTATCGGCATTCTATTGCATGCCGTAACATATTCTTGTTCTTGCATATTCTGCTTTGTACACACACGTTTGCTTTGCTATCGTTATTGGACAATTGGCTTTGTGACACGTTGCATAAAGTATTTCGGACGAGTTAACTATTCACCTATTTTTTTTTTTTTTCAACAGTTTCGCATAAATTGTTGTTTTTTTCTATCATTTTTTTTTATATGTGAATTCCAACTGCGTATATGTATTTTTTCAAATTAAATTTGGTTTATTTACATGTGATGTTATTGTGCATATATGTATATAGAATAGTCTAAGTAAATCTATTACTGTGACGTTTCAGATGTTCCCTTTGTTTTCTCAGCTGTAAGCAACATTACCCTCCACAAAAGCCTCATCATGATTGTGTTTAATCGAACAAACAATTTCCTCTTATATTAAAAATTTCTCTGTTTTTCTCATTGCGTTCTCTGTTGTTGGTGCAGAGGACCAGATTTATTTCCCAGCATCGATAATTGCGCACAAAACAACACTGTATTTTATATATGTATAAAATGCATTCGTATGTACATAGATATGCACATATTGGCATTATTATTTTTGTGTTTTTCTTAAACTCTTTTTGTATTGCATTTTATTACGCATCCGTTTTTTCATCACTTGTGATAACATATGTATATGTAGCTATGTACATATATAGAAAAGTTTATTATGGCAATGGTGGAACGTAAAGAAAACAAAAAAAAGCGTTAACTTTGGTTGCATCGAAGCTATATAGGCCCTCACAAATACAAAATACCCCATACAAGAACCTGATTTTGATCGGTCAGTTTGAATGGCAGCTATAGCCATAGTGGTCCGTTCTGAACAGTTTCTTCGGATATTGTATCATTGTCTTAGACAATAATCAGACAAATGCGCAGCTTCTTAAGGTGAAAAGGAAGTGTGCAAAATTTCAGAACGTTATCCTAAACGGTACAGGATATAAACAGTACTTATATCTGCTAGTAATGGAATGTGTAATCATTATTTTTGCGTTGTTCATAGATACAGACTCGCATTTTTTAGTTTTTAATTTTCTTTTCGCTTTTATTGTTTATTTGGTGTTTTTTCTTTTTATTTTTTCGTTTTGTTGGAATAATGCATAACATATAATTCTTTTCAATTAGGTGGAGTAGTCATTGCAAGCTTACGCAATTTGAATACCACTCGAAACTCAAATTCCCAAAATTTGGTGACTCATGCCCAACATTACTTACTGAGTTATCAGCAAAGTACGAAATGTTGAACTAAAAATATTTTACGATAAAGCGAAGCACTAAATAAACTGGATGCAAGATATTTTAAATTTCTTACATTCTTAAAAGCAACTAATATAGCATAGTGAGGAGAAGCAAGGTTTATCAACGCTGTTATATAGCAGTTAATAAATATAAATATACTACATATAATCAGACATAAATTATACTTTCATACATATCGGTGTAACCGATTAATTTGGCACTTAGCGACTGTTACCATTTACCTCTACTGTTACCAATTAACTTTGTGTTTTTTTTTTGTTGAAATTTCTATAATTTATACATTAGGGTGAAGCGAAAAAAACATTTTTTTTGCTTAGCCTGAGGGTAAAATCTGTAGATTATAAAAGAAGAAAATGTTTAGACAAAATTTACTTTAAAACACAGTTAGTCGCCTCTAGATGTCCAAAAATTATTTTTTTTTATAATTTACAAATTTTACCCTCAGGCTAAGCAAAAAAAAACTTCGCTCCACCCTAATATCCATATGTACTACACAAAAATATCTCCAAGCTCGTTAGTTTTGCAACGGGATAAGTTGGTTGATCTTAGAAAAATAATAATACGTATTTACAAAATTAATTATTAGTCAATGAGAATATTTGTTGTAAATGAGTCCAGGGTCTTTGATTCCGACATATAGACTCGTACCAACTTAAATATATCAAATAGTTTGTTTACAACAGAGGAATTCTGGTTGTCTTAACTACTATTCTTAGGGCCGTTTTCTCAATATCTGGTTAGCAACCATATGTCAGCTAAGTTCTGCTTAACTCAATGGAGAGAAGGGGTCTTGGTGGATTGCGGTGCCTACCAATCTATAGTAGTGAGAATATCAAATCTAAGTAATTGACGTTGTTGACTCCTTACTTTCCTTTAAGTTAAGTGATGAGATAACTCTAAAAAGCGAACATATGAAAAAGAATTTACTGTAATGAGAAACTTTATAAGGGTATACATTTATAAATATAGGTGCTTTCTTTTCGTTTAGCAGCGTAATTTAAACACGGTTCCCTTAATTTTCTGAATATATTGTATGAAAAAGGAATTGATTTTACGCTAGCCAAGAGTTAAAAATTTAATATGATTATTGTTTGTCAAACCAATGCCGATATTAGATCAGTGTATATTTATCTCCATAGTATGCGATACTTTTCAACAGAAGTGTGTGGAATACATTTATTTCAGTAAATTTTCGAATGAATATTTTGCTGTTTTATACATAATTTTTCTATCAATTATTATGACTGGTAGTGCAATTCATTGCAAATGATCAAACTCACGATTACCTTAATAAAAATCCCTTGCCCAGCATTGTCACATGGCTATATTCAATAATCCACAAGATTAACTTAATAATTCTTTCATTTCTCATTTTTAGTTGTGCTGATCGGCGATTCCGGCGTTGGTAAAAGTAATTTGCTATCGCGATTTACGCGCAATGAATTCAACTTGGAATCAAAGTCGACAATTGGCGTAGAGTTTGCAACGCGTAGCATAGAGGTAAATAATATTTACTAATATGTATTACACTAGATATAATTAATCTGTTGACATGCATTTAAAGATATACTAAAGCAATAACTGTATATGTACACTGATACACAAGTTAACACAACCAATGCAGATATTTAACGCATTACGTGCTAATAATATACGATATCGCATTTCAGATTAAATTATCAATTTATTTGTCTCCTATCACAGCTCTCACATTAACATATGTACACATGTACACGTACTAATTAATTTGCTATAATTTGCCACATTTAGGTTGATGGCAAGACGATTAAAGCGCAGATTTGGGATACTGCTGGCCAGGAGCGCTATAGAGCTATCACGTCTGCATACTATCGTGGCGCTGTCGGTGCACTGCTTGTCTATGATATTGCCAAACATTTGACATACGAGAATGTGGAGCGATGGTTGCGGGAATTGCGCGATCACGCTGATCAAAATATTGTCATTATGTTGGTTGGCAATAAGTCCGATTTGCGACATTTGCGTTCCGTGCCGATGGATGAGGCGAAACTCTTTGCCGAACGCAATGGGTTAAGTTTCATAGAGACATCTGCCCTTGATTCGACGAACGTTGAAACTGCATTCCAAAATATACTCACAGGTAAGAAGTTGAAATGGAAACACTGTTGTGTATGAGGTAATTTAGAATATAACTCTGTTTTTTTTATTTTTTAGAAATCTATCGTATCGTATCGCAGAAACAAATCAGAGATCCACCTGAAGGTGATGTCATTCGTCCAAATGTGGAGCCCATTGATGTGAAGCCGACTGTTACAGCCGATGTGCGCAAGCAGTGCTGTCAGTGACCGCCTTATGCACGTCCTGCATTACTTTTAAATGTCATTTATGCATAAATAATAAAAACCAACAATACTACAATAAATGAAAAAATACAAAAACCACGACCACAATTTCCCCCAAATGAATCCAAATCTACGCCAGTGGCAACAAACGACAGCAAAACATAAACAGAAGAACAGAAATAGATGCAGCAATTATTATTAATATTACCCACATACACTAAATGGCAAAGAAATGATTGAAGCAGAAAATAGTGAAACTCCGTTGAAATTTATTGAAAGAAAAGTAATAATTTTATTTATAATTTGAACGTGTATTTTCTATAAAAAAAAAAAACATAATGAAGTGAGCAATGAATTACCCTCTATGCTATTATTACACTTAGAGAACTACCCCGCAATCGTCCCAGCTCTTTTAAACGCTTTTATGAAGTTGCTCCACAAAATTTCAATACAACAAGAAAAAAAACAGACATAATCAAGTAAACTGAGTTATTGTATTAGTGATGCATTATTTATATACACTTTATAACAAGTTGCCCAATCAATATCGCTACTTACTATTTGGTTCCTTATGCTAGTATATACATATATTTTTTTTTTTTGTTCAGATGTTGCTAATTTGTTTAACAAAGTGTTGCTTAATTAAATAAATCGATTCAGTTAGATTAATAACCGACTAATTATAAAAAACAAAAACATTTCTACATTTTTTTTACATTTAACTTAATGAAAACGATATGCAAAATTCTCCATGTAAATTTAATTTTTTTATTGTTCAAAAGATATGTAAAACTATTGTAAATGTTTTAGTAAAATGTAATTAAAAATAACAAATGCGAAAAACGAAATTAATTTAAATATTAATTATAATTAAGAAAAACACACACACACACGCAAAAAAAAATGCAAAAAATTATTATTCTGCTTTTTTAATTAAAACAAAGAAATAAAATTTTATATAATATTACTATGAAGTAATCAAAAACAAAACTAAACACCAAAATACATACAATACTGTTCGCAGCGAGTAATGCACACACATACATAAATATATACGAGAGCATGGCGAGAAATAAGCGGTTTAACAAAGGTAGTCAACTGTAGGTGGAATGAAAAGAATTAGTTTTTGATAGCGTAATTGTGTGGACCCAACAGATAAAGGGAAAGCTAAAATATGAAATATCGTGAATCTAATGGCAGAGAGGAAGGCATAGCAAACAAAAAATGCGTATCCGAGTAATAATTAATTAATTGGAAAACTTATAAAAACTAAAAATAAAAGCGATACAACATGCAACAGCCAGTTGTACATTATTGAAGATTATACATTTAAAAAGAAAAAATTTAATTAATCGATCGATTGATTAATGCAATTATATTGTGTTTTGCTATATTTACCTATGTTAAGTGTATCTAAATAAATAAAATAAAATTGAAAACAACAAAATGTAAATATAAGATGGGTTTTATTAAAACACTAATGTGTCACTGAGAAGTGTGACGGACTTAGCTTAATTCTGGACAATTTGTACTTGCTAAGAATAAAACTGCAGTAAAAACCAGTGAGAAACGATAATGAGAGTGAAACCGGTAAGTTCCGGATCAATAGAGGTTTGCTACTATACTTGCGCAACTAAAGTTATTTAAATTGTTTAGTTGTTACAGCAAGAGTGAGCAACTGAATCACATTGGTTTGCCCAATACTGGTCATGGTAACAGAGGTGCATTTATTATTAAACAATATTTTCCATACTTAAAGTTTTTTTATATTTAATAAAAATAAAATTTGTGCATGTGCAATTGAAAGTTATGTTTTATTTACATAAATATTTTTTACAAACGTTATAGCCTATTCACAGCTGAGACTCTTTAAAAATCATTGTGAATAGCAAATACTGTTTAAAAAGAAGAAGATTGTAAACACGCGGATCCTCATGCGATTCTTTGAATGGTTTAGTGATAATTTGTATTAATTCTCAAATAAAGATTTTATAAATTAAAAGCAATTTCTAAAGCGGAACATAAAAATGGGCAAAACTAAAAAGAAGGCACATCCTAAAAAACGCACAGCAGCATTCAAGGAAAAGGAATCCAATGAGCTGGTGGAAGCACCACATTCTTTTGTAATACATCGAGGGCTTTCATGTCCCTATATCACCGATTTAACATTGGATTTTCGAAAAATCATGGAACCATTTACAGCATTACAGTTAAAAGAGAAGAAAATTAATCGCATTAAAGATTTTGTGGCAATGAGCGGATTCTTTCATGTTTCCCACATGGGTATATTCAATAAAGCCACATCCCAGTTGTCATTTAAAATTGTACGTATGCCGCGTGGTCCTACACTTACTTTCAAGGTAAATTTTGCTATAATTGCTTTATATAATTAATAAAAACAAAACGAAACTGACAACAGGTGCACCAATTTACTCTGGCGCGAGATGTGCTCTCAAACAGCAAAAGACAGTTTGTGGACGACGATATGTTTAAGCACTCACCACTTGTTATTATGAATAATTTCACAGGTGATGGTAAACATCTAAAGTTAATGGCCAGCACGTTTCAGAATATGTTTCCCGCAATCAATTTAGCACAAGTATGTATAAATTCTGCTTCTTTTTAATATTATTATACCTTATAATTTATTTTAAAAAAATAGGTAAACATTGCTACAATCCGTCGTTGTGTGTTGTTCTCATATACACCGGAAACAAATTTAATAGAAATGCGTCATTATTCAGTCCAAGTGGTGCCAGTCGGCTTAACGCGAGGTGTTAAAAAGCTTGTAATGGGCAAAATACCAAACTTATCCAAATGTGAAGATATTGCTGATTTCATAATGCAGTAAGTTAATATTTTTTGATTAAATGCAATTTAGTAAATATTTAACTATTTCTACAGAGACGGAGGAGCTTCAGAGTCGGAAATGGAAGATGATGAGCAATCGCAGGTTGTTCTACCACAAACTCTTAAACGTAAAGGCAATTTAGAGGATAATAAATCAGCTGTGCGTCTGTTTGAAATTGGTCCACGCTTAACTATGCAATTAATGAAAATCGAGGAAGGTCTTCTAACCGGTGAAGTACTTTATCACGATCACATAGTCAAGACGGAAGAGGAAAAGGAAACGCTTCGTAAAATGATAGAGAAGAAACGAAAACTAAAAGAATACCGAAAAACAGTACAAGAAGAGAACCGTAAACGCAATTTACGTGCAAAAGAGGAAGTGTCCGGTAAACGCAAGAAACATAAGAGCGAAGCAGCAGCTATTGGTGATGAAACGAAGGAAGACAGCGATCCCGAAAACGATGCAGAATACTATAAACAAGAAGTTGGCGAAGATCCTGATGAAGGTAAGAATTAAAAAACTTATTTCTTCCAAATAAATTTGTTAGTAATATATTCGATTAACTTTGCAGAACTGTTCAAATCTGAAAGCAAGTCAAGGAAACGTGCCAGCTTGCCGCCAAGTTTAAAGTTCAAGAATAAGAAGCTGAAAAAAGCGCAAGAAAAAAGAAAGTGATGCTCATATATATATTTAAGTAGTATATTGTTAACATTCAATAAAAACCCAATTTCTCAGAAATTTTTTCTTATTTTTACAATTTTATTACACCGTCCTTAAAAAAATACATTTTTTGTCAGTCTAACTAAACATACGTTTCACTACATTTTTATACTGCTCATTGCTGGTTTTCCAACTTTCCCCTAAACGTTGATGAAGTTTAGCAAATTCTCTTTTTCCTTGATAATTTGGAACACCCTCAATAAGTTTTTGAGCTTTTTCAAATTCTTTAAGATGATAAAATGCCATTGCTCTGCGGTAAATACTTTTCTCTGTAGCATTTGGGTGCTCTTCTACAAACTTTGTTTGATACAGTACATCTTCGTAGCGCTGTTCGTTCAACAAACAAGCTGCTAAATTAGTCTGAATTTGTGTAAAAAGCGTTTGCATTTCCTCACCCGATATACCATCCTTGCTTACCGTCAAACCTTCAAATGGTTTATATGAGATCAAAAATTTTGCGGCGCGCGAAAAATAAGCATGAGCAAAGATGGGATACTGCTTGAACATAACTACGCCGTTTTCCTTGTAACGCATGGCGAGTGCGTACATTTCTGCACCATTTAATTTAAATATTTCCTTTGTTTCTTCTATCCGTATCAGAGTCAATAGGAAACTTATTTCCTCTTTCTTTGTGGCAATGAAGCAACGTGCACGTTCACCTACCACAAGTTGTCGCACAAGCAGTTCTGTATAGCAATCAACCGGTGTGAGAGCACTACCTAATTCCACTGTTTGTTCTTGTTCAATTAACTCATTGGATAGATATTGACTTTCCCGTCCATTCAAATTTTGCACTTCTTCCACTTTTATCACAACTTTGGACACTAAATGAGGTTTATTCAATAACTTGAAATTGTCCAAGGATAGAACTTGCTTGCGCAAACCTTTAGCCGGCATAGTCCACTCGGTGCCAATATACCACGACATGGGTTTATATTTATCCATTTTAGAGCAGTTTACACTTTATTTCAAAACAAAGCTGAGTTAAAAGATTTAAATTTTTATTTATTATTGAAATAAAGCACAATAAACAATATATGCTGTCAAAGATTATTCCAGTATTCTTGGTCCAGTTGACATTTATCGCAGCAGAGAACGTAAATTATATGATATACGGTCTCTGATCCCAGTACACATTCAGTGCTGCCAAGTTAATTTTTTTAGCCTTATAACAAGCAGAGAATGTAAAATTTCTTTTACTCTCTGTAACAAGGTTTCATTTGATTTAAATAAAATTATTCAATTTATTAAGGTCCCAATTATGTAAATACAATGCCCAATGTTGAGGAGAGGGGGAGGAGTGTATTGGTTGCCTTATATTGTTGTAAAGGAGCTATAGGGAAGTGGTGGGAATTTCCACTTGCTGCCTTGGGTTTTCGAAGCTGTAGTTTAACCAATACCAGAGAATGTAAAATATTTTACATTCTCTGCCAATACTATTCTATGATGTATTTGTCAGATGGCGGGAGCTCGGTAAAGCCATATTCACTATACGCTGGAACGTGTCAACGAGCGGCCCTCATTGGCATCTGTGGTGCACTAAGTATAATACCAACATTGGCACTTTATGCCATTCTACAATAGCGTCCGTGGGCATAACCGGCAAATGCAATGCTGCGAAGGTTGCTATCAGACTCCGGAAAGCCGGACCCATTAGGAGTTCCATAATGGGACATACCGAAGTCCTCTCGCACTTCGATTGCATCCCTGATAAACTGGACCACTGCGCTGTGGAGCCCACTCCTAGCGGCATCTTCTCCGCGCACATACCTCCGGGGGATCTGTGGGTGAGGCCGAGTCGCTGGAAAAGAGGCGGAGTGAGCTTTTTCACGTATGGATTAAAGATCGAGGGGAAGGTTGGAGGGGGAGTCTTCTGTCGGGAGCTCTCAATTAACTCTTGTGTCTATTTGTCTGACACTGTAGTGTCTTTCAAGCAGAAGTAGCAGCTATTAAGATAGCAGCAGGTGTACTACAATGAAGTGCGGCTTCTTTTAGGGAGGTATTCTCTCTATAATCTATTTCCAACTTTAACGCATATATTTTTTGTATTTAAACGCTTTTTATGCAATGCGGCATTGATTCGAGAATATCTTTTAGGATAACAAACATAACACACAAGAATTAATTTTATTTTTTGGTATTTTTAAACTTTATTTGCCTTGCTTTATTCGAAACGAATATTTAGCAAATCGATATCAATTCTCTTTTCATTATCAGTTTTGGCTTATTTTATCATGCAAAACCATTACAATCATGATATTTATATTTTAATATTCATTTAAATTTAATCATTATCATTCACGGTCTTTATATTAATAATAAACAAATGTCTTCTGATTTATAACTTTATAATATAATATAATTTACAGTTACGAATCCAACATACAATGAATTCCATAGTGTGGGCCATGTGGCTCAATCTAAGACCTAGTCAGTGCATTTTAGTTTTTTATTTAAAGTAAATACGTGACATTTTAATTTAAACATAAAATATATGCAATTTATATCATTTCGAAAATAACACATGATTAAAAAAATAAGTCGAATTCTAACCTCTACCTCTAACCTCTAAATAACGTCTTGAGCTATGTATGGATAGGCGTAGTAAATTTATAATGTTTAAATAGGTTTGTATAGTTCATAAATACATATTTTGTTTGTCGCTATGCATGTATACAACTGTGTTTCAAAACTTTACATGTATTTCATTGTGTATCAACATGCATTACTTTAAATAAAAGAAAAATATATACATATATATATTTCAACGATGTAATTGGTGAATCGTACAATTATTTGGCGGAAGTGTAGTCGCACAGTTGGCATTAAAAAATATTTTGTTAACATCAGGTTTTCAATAAAACACACTTTTAATTCTGCTTTAACATATACCTATTTGCTTCATTAATTATACATTTTATTGAGCATTTGGCGTATCAAATTCTTTTTCGTATTGTTGTTTTCCAAATTCAAGTTTTTGTTTTATTTTATATATGATATTATGTAGCTAAAATTCACTTTTGATATATATATTTTTTTATATATCCTTTATTATTATCCATATTACAATTGCTATTTAAAAAGCTTAAAAACTTTTAAATCGGTAGCATTTTGTATTTTAATTAAAACTGACATTAAAATAGTTTGCTTGTCGTCATTTATTATATTATTGGTATCTTTTATTGAATAAACTTGAATTTATTATTTTATTTTTATGTAATTTCATTCATTAGTAATCATCAATTTAACTTTTTTGCATTTATTTCAAATAGCTTAAATCTCATTTTTCCTTCGTGCCTTTAAACACAATCTTATATTTATTTTTTAATATTCGTTGACTAGAAATTAATACAAAAAATAACTTAATACTAAACATAAGCTTGTATAACTATCTCAAAAGTATAAAAAAATATTCAAGTCTTAAAATAGGAAACTAAAACTATCTTGCTCAGTAAATTGTTCATTATAAACTTGAGGAAAATACAATACAAAAGATAACAAATCAAATGACAAGTAGAGGTACTGCTTAACATGCTCATAAGCCTTCCTTTTTTTTTGAATTTATAGCTTATTTATTGTACACCGTTTTAATAAATTATTGAAAGGATTTTATTTAATAAAATATAAAAATTATACCGTATTTAAAATAATATAAGAAAGAAACTAACAGTGTTGCCACTTTATACACATAAATAATAATTTTTGCAATACATCTTTTCATTATGCAATTATTTTCCAAAAATATAGGAAATTTTCATCTAAAAATAAATTGGATTTTTATACATTTGGTGGAAAACGGTAAAGCGCGTGTTGAAGTCTGCTTATATATGTATGTATGTACACTAATAATATGGAAAGCATTTTCTGCTCCAACCCCGTACAATCTGAAATTTTACTTTAACAAAATTACACGAGCATTGTAAAGAAAAAAATACATAATGCTGTTAACAATTTAATGTAGTTTTTTTTGTTTTATTTTTTTAGGCAGTTTTTATTGTATCTATAGTAGCTGTACTCAATTTTTCACGACACAAATAATAGCAGTTTTGGCAGTTTTGCTTATAAAAAAAAAAATGTAGCATGCATTCAAAAAAATTGACCTTTATGTGTTTTTTATATAACGTTTGAGAAGTGCACTGTGACTGGTAATTAGGAATTTTTACCGGTTTATTCGAAAATGCTGAAATAACGGTAAATAGAGCGTGTGCAATACAGTTAGTAACTATGAATAAAAATATTATGTGATTAATTGAGAGAGGGAAAGGCTGATTTGGTTATTAACGCAATTTAAATTTATTTTTGATTGGCAATAAGAATAAACAATTCAAAATGCTTTTAGCAAAACAAGCAAATAATAAGAAAATTATATGAAACATCTTAACGCACAATTTCCAGCTAAACTATCGACATTGAATCAGCCTTATAATTAATCACATAATAGTAAGTAAATTTTAAACGTAACAAATCATTTTTGGACTTCACATTTTGAAAACACTATAAAATTGCAATTATTTCTGCATTAAATATTACTAATTACAATATTATATAACTATATTTAATTTCAATTTCGTCGCCAATAAACGCTGCTTAAATTATTATAATAATTTTTAGTTTTTCTTTTATAAAATCACAAATTTAGAATATAGTTCTGTTACAATTGTTTTTTACTTATGTTTTTTGTTTTTTTTTTTTTGCTATTTGCTATTTGCGTTTTGCATTTTATCTTTTTAGTCTAATTTAAACTTACAATTTGCATAATGCAGCGTTCAGTTTTAATGCTTCGCGGAGTTTTAAACTACTCTGCATTTGGTTTTTGTTTGACGTAGCATTATATCTAAATCCTAACTGCTGGCACTAAATACAAAATCTACACGTGTCTGCTCTGCTTTAGAGTAAATGCGTTTGTTGTTTTTCATTTGCTTTTATATTAGTTAATTATTATTTTTTACTTTGCAGCTTTTTTCTTAAAGTAGTCTAGTCTGCCTTTTAAAGTTGCTAATAATATAATACGTTTTAATTACAATTTAGTTTATTTTTAATCATAAGTGCAGTGTTCTCTTATATTTTTGGACAATTTTGTTGTTTTAGTTTTTAGTTTTTCTTGCAATTTTTTATTAATTATCTGTGTATGTAGTGTAAAATTGCGAGTTGTTTAGTTATTCGGTCACATAACGATTATCATTCATTCATCTCATTTGTCTTTGACTGCGAGTAACAATTTTTATGCTTAATTTAAGCACGTGACGGTTTTACTGTTGCCTAATAGCCTTTGTTCACATTTCTTTGCTTCCTTTTTGGTATACCCGTATTATATACTTAGTTAGGAGGCAATTTCAGCTAAAGTAGGAATTACGTTTTCATCTTACTCTCTCACGTTCTCATTGTTTTAAATATTATTGTAATAATCTATCGCTTTTTTGTAACGCGAAATTGTAAATTTAAAAAAATCGAATCTACTTTTGGCATTAGCGTAGATAGTTGCATTCCATTTCACCTGTTTTGAGTTTAAATTTTGTATTATTATTTTATTGTGCCTCATTGTTCCGTTCATGTGGTATATGTGCGTATAACATCACGTATGACGGCTCTACACAGTGGACACTGACCGCCACCAACACCACGCCACTGCTCGATAGCGCAGTCGTAACACATGCACATGTGTCCGCACATATAAAGCACTGAGTCGATTTGATTTTCATAGCAGATCGTGCATTCAGCGCCAGCGCTGCTATTGCCACTGTGATCCACGGTGTCTTTCCATTTATTCATCTCCTGAGTGGAATTGCAACCGTTCAACGAGGACACAGGCTGCAAAAGAATGAGTGGTAAATAAAGAAAATTATAGGTTAGAATTGTTGACAATTTATGGTAGTATTCAGCTTCAGTAATAATTTTTTTATAATTGCATTGTTACTCACCTCAATGTACTGATTATTTGTCATTGTTGACGAACAAGCGCCAGCCAGTACACCCGATGTTGGCTGCCTTGTTGCGGTCACACCATTACCGCCACCACTCACACTATTCAGTTCGTGTGTCGAGTTTGCAGGCGGTAAATTCACAACCAACACAGTACCGCCACCGTTGGGCTGAATCTGTATGAGATCCCCACTTGATGGCATACTGATCATGTGACCGGTCGCCGTCGCCGTGGTATTGCCATTGGTTTTGGTGACGGGCGTGACCGTCGACACCGTCGCTGCAGGTACATTACAATGAGTTTGCGCCGCTGCCGCCACATTGGCCGTCATGGAGGCTAGTGTCGCCGCAGAGCTGTTCATGGTGTTGTGTGATGCCACAGTGAGCGCAGAGTTGTGCAACATTTTGCGCGATTCAGACATTTGGCTATTCAGACTATTCATCGATTCGGCAATTGACATGTTGCCGTGTTGCGGCAGGCGTTGTGTTGACGGTGCGGCTGAGAGCGGTTGTTGTGGATAGTTAACCATATTAGGTAGCTGTTGGCGGAACATGCGCACCGACTGTGTGGAGCCGTAAACATCGAGGAAAGCCCACAGCTGTAGGGATTGATCGACATGCATGACAACAACGGCCGGGCCATTGTTTTTGCTTATGGTTACCTCACCATTGGGCGCGACAAAGAAGGCGATCTCGTCACCGCGTTGTGGTTGTGAGGCGATATCCTTGCTCACCACCCAATATTCGGGGCGATCGAGCAGAAAATCAGAATCGTTGGGTAGGTCGGAGGGTTGCAGTGCCGCCGGGTTGCAGGAGGTAAGGCCCAGCGCCAATGCGCCCAAGTACATTTGTTCGGTTTTCAGTATTTGTACAATCACCTTCTCGCCGATGCGTATGGGACGCGCTGTGAACACATAACCCTGGCAGAAGTCATTTTCTGTGCGTGACGCTATGAACCGATCCATGGAGAGACGCACATTGCGGCCTTTGGTGATGTGAAATGGCACCGGTATGAGGCGGCCGTTGGCATTGTAGCGCAACGGTGGCAGACCATTGGCCATATCTTGTGCAAACGGCATTTGTTCCATAGAAATATTCAGCGATTGCATTGAAGGCAACACATGACGATCCAAATCCTGCTCGACAGCTGGCAATGAGCGACGCGATTGTTGATGCGGGTGATGTGGATTCAGTGGTATTTGTGGACCGGGCAATGTGCCACCAACACCAATTACACCACTATTGCCGGCAGGTAATGCTACACCGGCGGCCACGAGTCCATTGCCACTCTGTTGATACATATAGACGCGCGCATCTAAGAACTCAATAGCAGTGCAATTGCCATAGATGTCAACCAAGGTCCAGAGTAAACCACGCGTATCGATGCCGCTCAATATGACACCCTTCTCCACGTTGTTGATGCCATAGATCACATCACCAGCCGAATTGACGTAGTAATAAAGTATGTTATCCTTTTCGCAATACTGTTCGTGCAGCGCTTTCGCCCAGAAACCGGGACGATTCGTTAGGTCGGGACACGCGTACTTGGGCAGCGCACCCTCCAGCGTTGCCGGATCGTTGCTGGTGAAACCGAAACGTATGCCGCCATTCCAATTGTTTGAAATTTCTGAGAAGCGTACACATATGCGCTCGTTGATGCGCACCGGGCGTGCTGAGAAGGTGATCGCGCGGCAGAAGCTTTCGAAACGACGTGCCAAAGTGCCGTCCCGTGATATCCGTATGTTGTCGCCATGTACGGTGTGAAACTGGAGTGGTGGCAAGTTGTTGGGACCGGCGCAGGAGGATGGTGAGCGACGAACTGGAAGGAAGAAAGCATACAAACAATCAGATATATTAACAATAAATGTAATAAAGATTATATGTACATGTATGATGGGAGTCTATTGACTCCACTATTGCTCAGTAGAGGTAGCTTTTAGATATTTAAAACCAATTGTAAATCAATAAAGCTTAATTATTATGGATTGGACTCAAAAAACTAGCAAATGATTCAACAGTTTTGAGGCCGAGCTTCGCCATAGTTGTGTGGTTTGGCGGATCTACATATATTGAAAGTAAAAGATATCACAAGTTTTAACTAAATAAAAATATATTTTTATTCCAAAAATTTTTGTTGCAGTCAAGCTAGATATACATACATACTTGTACATACATTTATATATTTTTTTCTTTGCTTCGCTAATGTTTTCATATGTACGAACGTGTGCAGGTTATGTCCTTAAGGGGTTACATGGGTTTCGTCGAGCAAAAAACGACGGTTCATATAAAAAATGAAAATATTTTATTCAAACTTTTTATTATTCCGAAGACACATACATATGCATACATATTTGATAAAGATTTTGTGAAATTTTCAAAGGAAAATATTAAAACACGGTCATTACGACGTTATTTCCTGCAGTCCCTCGGAAAAAAGGTGCTTCCGCGTTGACAGCAGAACTTCTGACAGGATCATCAAAAGTAAAAAAAAAAGTGTTTGAACTACGACCATTAACTAGGTATTGGACAGAGAAAAAACAAATAAAGTAAAATTATAATTTTGGCAGACTTAAAAAAAAACGCAAATTTTGGTGAAAATTTCTCGACGTTTTTTTGTTTTAAATAATTGTAATTAAAAGAAGATAAGTGTAATTGAAAGAAGATAATTGTAATTGAATTCAAGATCTTGTAAAGGATATCTTGAAGATTTGTAAAAAATTTTACTAAAAACGGTTGAGTAGTTAGCGAGAAATCTTGACAACCGACTTTGAAAGCACAGTTTCGAGAAAAACGCGTTAAAAGTTTTAAGGGACTATATACCTGACCACAAGCGCGCAACTTTTCAAAGCTGTACCTCCAAAACTATTACTGCGATCAACTTGAGAGTTTGGGACAATATTCTAGAGATGTTATAGAATTAAATAAGACAATACTTTTTTTTTTGTTTTTTGAACCCTTTAAGCACAATTAAGTACTTTACATGCTATATAAATACGATTCTGTACGTAGCAACATGCCTACCCTATTTTCAGCATATACATATATATGAACTCTATACTCGTATAAATGTTTCCTTAAATCCTTGTCCACTTGAAGAGCAGAAAGCAGCTGGCGCATGCCCATTTTCCAATTTTCGAAATAAAGGCCAACATGTGAAGACATGAAACGTGCAACAACAATTGGTTACTGCCTACTTAATGCTTTTTTGTAATGTTTCTTCGCTTTTCGACAAACCAACCGACACAGCACGCTTGGCTGTAATGGCATTTGTTATAGTTGTTTTTGCTTGACTTGAGCTAGCATCTTGTGCACCTACGTTGTTCTTATCCTTGCCAGGCAACCGGTTTATTGTCTGTCCTTAATTTGAAGTCGGACCAAACCAACAGATGCTATTTCACATTACTTGATCCTTGCGCTCATCTGAATATAAAAAGCAAAAAAACAACAACGACAAGCAATAGCGTAGAATGATATCTACTACCTTGGATCAATGTGTCGTCAATGCTTCAACATACTTACACATATTTACTTGAGCGCATGCGTATGCGCCATACATACAAAATACATGGTTGTGTGTCGACATGTTAATTTTTCTGTCGCGGCTGTTGCGTTCATGCCTATTTTTGGCTTTACTTTCAGAAGGGTAGCTGATTGTTGATCCCATTATACATTTTTTTACTTTTTATTTTCTGTTGTAAGCTATTATGCGCGCAAGTGGCACGCGTCTGGGATCGTCCTTATGTTGTCGTTGTCGAAGTTGTTGCGGTTGATTTAAATTCAATTTTTTCGCCTTTGCTTTTGTGCGCGCCAGCCGTCACGAATATCATTATGCATTTTATGTATGTATATATGTCATGTTAAGCTATGCTATGTTGTATTATGTGCAGCAGCCGTATGACAGTAGGTGAGTCGACGCATTAACCGCCTGACCGTCTGTCGATCGCAAGTGCTGCCGGGTGCTGTGGCTTGCAGCTTTTACTTTTTTTCTTATTTTCTTAACATTCCGTTGCGGCAACTGCTGTTGCTTTTGCTAGCATATTTGCAAATTAATTATTTGCGCCCTTCTCCAGCTTTTTATTTGCAGCTACTACTTTATAAATACACTTATTAATATGTATGTATGTATATGTAAGTATGTATGTAACATAAGTTAGCTTATGTTAAGTGGTTTGCGGCAGCATGCTCTTTTTAAAAAAAAAAATCGCTAAGTAATTAAGGACATAACATAGGAAAGATGGTCGGGCGGTCCCTTTGGCAAGTTTCTACATACACACATATGTACATGTGTAGATATGAATGTAAAGAAAAGTTATGTAAAATGCTTTTGCGCATACTTCATAACTTTGAGTCACTTAATCGTCCTTAGGGCAGCTTCTTATCGCCTTAAACATATGTTTATATGTGTGTATATCTTCTCTACAACAATTATACCTGAATATGTAGCTACAGTTTGGACACAATTTTTTTAACTTTAAGCAACTAAGGAAACAACTGTTGCTATTGGAATATTTTAAACCACAATCGTCATTTGTTTTGGCGTGCTGCTGTCGAACTTTGCTTGTTGCTTTTCTGGTACAATTTTTTGAATACAACAACTTTAGTATCAACAGTTTTTATTATTTCTTCCTTTTTGCAACTACATATTGCGGTTACATATGTGATAAGATAAACATTTCTTTATAAAAGTTAAGTTTGGCAAAACTTGTTTAACGTTCAAGTGTCGCTTCCTTTTGCTCTTCTGTTGTTGGTGCTCTGGCCAGATTCTACCATATTTTTTAACGGCCAACTTTAATAATCAAATAGTTTTGTGAAAACTGTAGGCCTAAAATTTTCATTAACTAACTCAAATGTTTATGAAGATAAATATGTATGTGCATGTGTATACATGTGTGTATATATTCAAGCATGTAAATTTATCGCTGAATTGCCACTTATAGTTTAATTTAAAGAAAAGATAGCTACGATTGGCTTATCAGGCAAATCTCCAAGCTATTCAGTCATATTAATGTAAGTGTTTTATTAAAATGGGCCTTTATTAAAAAAATAAAAAAAAGATATAAACGATTCAATTTATTTTTCTTTTAATTAATTTGTTCAAATTTTCTCATTTTTTTCATTTTTAGATGTTGTTTTTTCACTGTTGTTTTTCACTTTGCGAAAATAATATGTTAGAAACATTATGTAGTAGCTGAGGTTGACAACAGCTAACTTGTGTCTTTGATTTTCTTTCTCTAAATCTGTGCAGAACTTGTATCCAAATTTTATTATAATTTGAAGATTCGGATTTTCAGTTATAATTTAGGATAGTACACAAAGTCGTGTTTCGAATAAATTCTTCAGAACTAATTCTTCAGGCTTAAGCTACTTTAATAAAAATAACGCGGGTTCGTAAGTTTGTAAAAGAAATTCAGACACCTAATTTTTTTTATTTTAATAAATATTTAAATACTATTATAAATTTTTACACAAGCAATTTTAAGTGCGCCTTAAATACACGCACTCACGCTCAACACAACTCAATCACTTTTGATAACACTCATTTCTATAAAATTGTACTCAAATGCAGCTAAATGATATTATTGAGTGAAATACTTGTTAATGCTCAAAAACAATTATTTGAGTGAGAAAGCGCGATCACTCAACTCGATGAGTGTTTCTTCAATAGAGTGGCGAACAGGAGAGAGAAAAGTGATTTCTGCAACCCCTTAATTGTGAGAAAAGTAGCACAACCTCCAAACAAAGAGAGTGCCGAAAAAATGCATTTAATACGCCACAGGAACTGAAAGAGTCCTAATAAAATGAAGAATAACTTTTATTATTGCGCCCTTATGGAGACGTTAAACAAATAAAATAAGGCGTCGCGAGTGCACAGCAAATTTTCGGGGGTTGAAAAGTTAACGTAAAATCCAAAAATGAAGGTAACTACAAAATGCAACTGGAGTAAATGTAAAGGGAAAGAAGAAATACTAAGTAAAGGCAAATGAAAACGGCAGATGTTCAAATTTCCGAAAAAACACACGCACGTGCATACAAACATACATATGCATGCATACACATATGGACACACAATGTAAAGTTGTGAGGAGATCGAAAAAAAAGAGAAATGAAAATTTACGTAGAAATAAAATTAAATACACATGTTCATACATACATATATATAACTAATATATAGTACATATTCATATGTGTGTTGATTTAAGAAACATATAGAAAGTATAACCACGCAAGTTGGATTTGAAACGTTTTAAAAACACTGCTTAAATCGGTTTTTAAAGCTAAAACTAAAAATCAGGAAAAACGTTAACTTCAGACTGTACCGAAGCTATAATACCATTCACAAATACAAAGGTTCTTTACAAAAACTTGATTCCGATTGTTCAATTCATATGGCAGCTATATGATATAGTGATCTTATCTGAACAATTTTCACGGAGATTAAATTGTTGTCTTAGACAATAACTCGTGCCTAATTTCGTGAAGTTATATCGTCAAATGAAAGAGTTTTCCATACAAGCACTTGATTCCGATAGTTCAGTTTGTATGGCAGCTACATGCTATAGTGATCCGAAATGAACAATTTCTTCGGATATTCTATTATTGCCTTAGACAATAATTCGTTCTAAATTTAATGAAAATATCTCGTCAAATTAAAAACCTTTCCCTACAAGAACTTGATTTCGATTGTTTAGTTTGTATCGCAGCTATATGCTATAGTGGTCCGATATCGGCCATTCCGACAAAAGAACAGCTTCTTGGTGAGAAAAGGTTATATGCTACATTTAAGAACGATATCTCAAAAACTGAGTGACTAGTTCGCGT